TGGCACGGTGGCGGCCCCAGGGGTTTCACTTTTTTTCTGTCCTTTCTAAGCCTGTGCCCTTGCACGCCTGGGATGAACTTTGGATATGGGCGGCGGGGAGGGGCCAGAGTCAAGGGTTCCACTGTTTGGTCCATCCACGGGAGGAGGGGGAGGAGGGGGAGGAGGGGGAGGAGGAGGAGGGGGAGGAGGAGGAGGAGGAGGAGGAGGAGGAGGAGGAGGAGGGAGGAGGAGGAGGAAGGAGAGGAGGAAGAGGAAAGGAGGAGGAGGAGGAGGAGGAGGAGGAGGAGGAGGAGGAGGAAGGACGTCGCTTCGCGTCAGGGCGCACCACTGCACTGCCTCGTGCTCCAGCTCGGGTGGGCGAGGAGGGCCCCGCACGAGCAGAGCACGACGCGACGGGGAGGCACGGACGCCGGGCACCGCCACAACCCGTCGGAGGCCCGCGCGGAGCTCCTGGCTCTGTGCCGGACACCCCTCCCCTGGCGCTCGGAGCGCGGGCGGGGCCCGGCTCCGCTGCAGGACATCTCCGCGCGGCCCTCCCAGAACGTATGCGCTGTGCACCTGCTTTCCCTCGGTGTGAAGACAAAGAAAACCTGCGGGGGGAATGCAGCTGACGAGGGGAGGACGAGGAGAAGGGAGCAGAAGCGACGGCGAGAAGGAGAACGACGAGAGGGGCGGACGAGACGAGGAGGGGACGGACAAAAGATCCCGACACCGCTAAAGTACTCCCCCAGACCTCACCCGGGGTGCGTGATGACCAGAACTTCGAGGACGAGGGCCCCCCAGGAGTCCCAGACATGCGAAAACCATGGCAGGGAAGCGGTATCGGTGCCTCCTGCTGATTAACAAATTAACAAAAGAACCCCTGCCCCTTTGGGGGGGAAGCTAAGCTAGGAGAGCCCGAAACATCAGGGACAGGGGGTCTTTTTTTCCTGCAGATGTATCGAACCAAACCGCCCAGACTTCTTCTCGCTCCTGCAAAGACGGGACCTCAGTGAAGCCGCGTCTTCGTCGTGCTATTACGGTCAGGGTTCTCTTATCCTCGATGACCTGCCCCCTCCCGCCCGACCCGACATGAAGGGGCCCTGGGACACACAAATAAATACACACAAATATTTTCGGAGCCCAGGAGGGCTCCAAATCGGTCCAAGAGGGGCCCGAGAAGCCCTCCAGACGGTCCAAGAGAGCCGGGAGACGCCGAAATATCACCCCCAAACGCCTACGATGGCCTCAAGACGGCCCAACAGGCCTTCAAGACGCCCCAAGAGGTCCCTAAGAGGTCCTTAAGCGGCGTCCCAAGAGGGCTCCCACTATCAAAAATCGTCCCATTCCCTTAGGAAAACGTGCATTGTTAACATATCCGCCTCTTCGTCTTTCACACCTTTCAAGGCGGTCCAAGAGGCCCCCAAGATCACCCCAAGACGGCCCGAGAGACCCTCAAGACCGCTCAAAGACGGCCCAAGAGCGCTCCAAGAAGGCCCAAGAAACCCTCAAGAACTCTTTTTCGGAGCCCAGGAGGGCTCCAAATCGGTCCAAGAGGGGCCCGAGAAGCCCTCCAGACGGTCCAAGAGAGCCGGGAGACGCCGAAATATCACCCCCAAGCGCCTACGATGGCCTCAAGACGGCCCAACAGGCCTTCAAGACGCCCCAAGAGGTCCCTAAGCGGCGTCCCAAGAGGGCTCCCACAAGCAAAAATCGTCTCATTCCCTTAGGAAAACGTGCATTTTTAACATATCCGCCTCTTCGTCTTTCACACCTTTCAAGGCGGTCCAAGAGGCCCCCAAGATCACCCCAAGACGGCCCGAGAGACCCTCAAGACCGCTCAAAGACGGCCCAAGAGCGCTCCAAGAAGGCCCAAGAAACCCTCAAGACGGTCCAAGAGGCCCCAAGACGGCCCCATGATTGAGGTCCACAGGGGCAACCTGAACGGAAATTTTGAGCCTCCCGCCCAAACACGCCCCCGAAATGCCCCTACAAGCCCCCAAGTAGCCCCACGAAGCCCCCAAGAGAGCCCCAAGAGGCCCCCAACAGGCCGCAAGAAAGCCCCAAGAGGCCCCCAAGAGACCCCCAGGAAGCTCCCAGGAGGCCCCCAAGAGGCCAGGCAGACGCCCCCAAGAGACCACCAAGAGGGCCACCCAGAGCCATCCACGAGGCCTCCCAAAGTTCCCAAGAAGCTCCCACGAAGCTTCCAAAGGCCCCCAAGACCCCCCAAGACCCCGCGATGGCACAATACGGGCCGGCGGAATGAGCGAAGCGATTCAATAAATACACACAAATAACAGGATCCCCAATATTTTCCAATATTTTCTGGATTTTCGTCTTCTCCCTCACTTCCAATATTTTTTTATATTTTCTTGGGAATCGACGATTCGTTGTGTCTGTGTGTTTTTTCCCTCCTGACGACAGCGCCTGCGCGGCCAGCCGCTCCGCCGCGCCAGAGGCGGCCGGGCCGAGGCACCCCAGGCCCTCCGCGGCGCAGCGCCGCACGTGGGCGTTGGCGCTCCTCCAGGGATCCCCGCCCCACCCCGTGGGGTCATGAGCACCGGCGGGCTGGAAGCAGACGTGGCTGGGCGCAGGTCGGGCACGTGCCCCGACAGGCCGATGTTGGACGAAAGCCACGAAAGAGTCAGCAAGCCAAATCTTCAAAAGTAATCAGACCTGGTCGAAGAATCGTCCTCTGACTATCGTTTGGATTATTTTTCCCAACCATCCTGTGGTGTTGGGTCCTCGTTTTGAAGAGACGGTGCCCCGCGTTTCTCCTCCTCCTCGCCCTCCTCCCCCTCCTTGCCTCTGCTCTCGGCACACCTCTCACGCGTTTCGTAGCCCCATAGGGAGCTCCACCGAAGGCCCCAGTGGGGGTGTCCACATGCGGTTCCCCCACCCAGGGCAGCGTTTCGTGGCCCCATAGGGAGCTCCACCGAAGGCCCCAGTGGGGGTGTCCACATGCGGTTCCCCCACCCAGGGCAGCGTTTCGTAGCCCCATAGGGAGCTCCACCGAAGGCCCCAGTGGGGGTGTCCACATGCGGTTCCCCCACCCAGGGCAGCGTTTCGTGGCCCCATAGGGAGCTCCACCGAAGGCCCCAGTGGGAGTGTCGCATGCGGTTCCCCCACCCAGGGCAGCGTTTCGTAGCCCCATAGGGAGCTCCACCGAAGGCCCCAGTGGGGGTGTCGCATGCGGTTCCCCCACCCAGGGCAGCGTTTCGTAGCCCCATAGGGAGCTCCACCGAAGGCCCCAGTGGGGGTGTCCACATGCGGTTCCCCCACCCAGGGCAGCGTTTCGTAGCCCCATAGGGAGCTCCACCGAAGGCCCCAGTGGGGGTGTCCACATGCGGTTCCCCCACCCAGGGCAGCGTTTCGTGGCCCCATAGGGAGCTCCACCGAAGGCCCCAGTGGGGGTGTTCGCATGCGGTTCCCCCACCCAGGGCAGCGTTTCGTGGCCCCATAGGGAGCTCCACCGAAGGCCCCAGTGGGGGTGTTCGCATGCGGTTCCCCCACCCAGGGCAGCGTTTCGTAGCTCCACCGAAGGCCCCAGTGGGGGTGTCCGCATGCGGTTCCCCCACCCAGGGCAGCGTTTCGTAGCCCCATAGGGAGCTCCACCGAAGGCCCCAGTGGGGGTGTTCGCATGCGGTTCCCCCACCCAGGGCAGCGTTTCGTGGCCCCATAGGGAGCTCCACCGAAGGCCCCAGTGGGGGTGTTCGCATGCGGTTCCCCCACCCAGGGCAGCGTTTCGTAGCCCCATAGGGAGCTCCACCGAAGGCCCCAGTGGGGGTGTCCACATGCGGTTCCCCCACCCAGGGCAGCGTTTCGTGGCCCCATAGGGAGCTCCACCGAAGGCCCCAGTGGGGGTGTTCGCATGCGGTTCCCCCACCCAGGGCAGCGTTTCGTAGCCCCATAGGGAGCTCCACCGAAGGCCCCAGTGGGGGTGTTCGCATGCGGTTCCCCCACCCAGGGCAGCGTTTCGTGGCCCCATAGGGAGCTCCACCGAAGGCCCCAGTGGGGGTGTCCACATGCGGTTCCCCCACCCAGGGCAGCGTTTCGTAGCCCCATAGGGAGCTCCACCGAAGGCCCCAGTGGGGGTGTCCACATGCGGTTCCCCCACCCAGGGCAGCGTTTCGAGGGAGCTCCACCGAAGGCCCCAGTGGGGGTGTCCACATGCGGTTCCCCCACCCAGGGCAGCGTTTCGTAGCCCCATAGGGAGCTCCACCGTAGGCCCCAGTGGGGCTGCCCTCATGCGGTTCCCCCACCCAGGGCAGCGTTTCGTAGCCCCAGAGGGAGCTCCACCGTAGGCCCCAGTGGGGGTGCCCGCATGCGGTTCCCCCACCAAGGGCAGCGTTTCGTGGCCCCACAGGGAGCTCCACCGAAGGCCCCAGTGGGGTTGCCTGCATGCGGTTCCCCCACCCAGGGCAGCGTTTCGTAGCCCCATAGGGAGCTCCACCGAAGGCCCCAGTGGGGGTGTTCGCATGCGTCTCCACTACCCAGAGCGAAAACGATATTCACACTTGCGGTATTCACAGTTGCATATGGTTGGGTCCTTCGCCAGGCTAATTTGAATACTCCCTCTGCACAGGGACACGCCCGACTTAAGGCTGAGCCCGTGTGAGCGACAAAGAGATGCGGGCCTTACGCGAGAAGCATCATCAGCGACCTCACCCCGCGGCTTGCGCGGGGCACCGACGGCGACACGCCACGTTAGAAGCGAGGGCGCTTGCGCGCGACCTGTCGCGGAAAGCTTACGCGCGAATGTCCGCGCAATCGTCCTCGCTTCACTCCGTCGCTCCAATGGGGGGCCTTCGTCGCCACGGCCGGTCGCATCTCGTGAAACGTTCGCGCTTGGATCCGGGAGGGGTCTGGAGACCGACTTTAAGCTGCCGTTGTTTCAACTCGCCTCGCTCCTTTTGGAAGCCGTTCCAAATTGGGTCATGAACGCCAGGAAGCTAGAAACAGACGTGGCTGGACTCATACGTGGAACCCCTGAGACCCAGACGTTGCAATTTTTTCGCGCCGGGCGTTTTCGCCCAGCTTCGGGCTCCAGGGCCATCTCAGATCGATCTGGCTCGAAAAGTGCCGCAGAAAGGTATAGATTTGGGCTCCTGTCGTGATTGTTCGCACCGTTGTTCCCAACAATCTTGTCGAAGTGGGTCCGCTTGTCAAAGAGACGGCGTCCCGTGTCCTCACCCTCTATCCTTCTCGCCCTCCTCCCTCCTTCCATCCGTGCCTCTGCCCTCCGCATGTCCATTGTGGCGCACCGCTCACACGCGTCGCGGCCCCATAGGGAGCTCCACCAAAGGCCCCGGTGGCAACGTTCGCTTGTGCCACCCCGCCCATTACGGTGCACCCCTCATACGCTTCGTGGCACCATAAGGAGCTCCACCAAAGGCCCCAGTGGCGACGTTCGCATGTGGCCCCCCCCCCCCGCCCGTTCCGGCGCACCCCTGAAACGCTTCGTGGCCCAATGGTAAGCTCAACCTGACGCCCCAAGGGCGACGCTCGCATGCGCACCCCCCGCCGATTACGGCTTACCCCTCACACGCTTCGTGGCCTCATAGGGGCATGTAGGTCTCTTTACAACCAGAGCCGCACTTTGTAACCATATGGGGCACTTTACAACCCGCGTGGGTTTCCCAGAACGCTCACTTTACAACCAGAAAAGGTGGCCCTGCAACCGCACAAGAGGAATCATAGTGTACGGTTTCAACCTTATAGTTTCAATCCTCGTGGGCAATCGTAATAGGCACACCTCGCTATCTCCAGCGTGTTGGTTGTAATGAGACCCTTCTGCGTGAACGAGCTGCAAAGTCGTGGATGTAGTAGTAAAAGTAGTAGTAATAAATGAAATAGTAGTAGAAGTAGTAGTAGTAGTAGTAGTAGTAGTAGTAGTAGTCGTGGCAGTACTAATCGTCGTCGTCGTGCAACCACAGCAGTACCAGTCGTAGTAGTATGAAGCGCAGTAGTAGTAGTAGTAGTAGTAGTAGTAGTAGTAGCAGTAGTAGTAAAAGTAGTAGTAGTAGTAGTAGTAGTAGTAGAACTAGTAGTAGTAGTAGTAGTAGTAGTAGTAGTAGTAGTAGTAGTAGTAGCAGTGGTGGAAGTAGTAGTAGTAGTAGTAGTAGTCGTAGTAGTGATAGTAGTAGGAGTCGTAATAGTAGTAGCAGTAGTAGTAACCGTAGCAGCGATTGCACTAGTAGTCGTACTAGTTGTAGTACTAGTGGTAGCTGTAGGAGTAGTAGTAGTAGTAGTGGTAGTAGCAGTAGTAGTAGTAGTAGTAGTAGTAGTAGTACGAGGTAGTAGTATGACTGCGATCTGTAGCATTAGCAGAAACAGTCGTAGAGGTAGTAGCGAAAGTGGTAAGAGTAGTAGTAGCAGTCGTATTAGTAGCAGTAGTAGCAGCAGTAGTAGTAGTAGTAGGAGTAGTAGTAGTAGTAGTAGTAGTAGTGGTAGTGGTAGTGGCAGTGGTAGTGGTAGTGGTCGGCGTAGTCGTCGTAGTAGTAGTAGTAGTAGTAGTAGTAGTAGTAGTAGTAGTTGTTGTAGTAGTAGTCGTCGTCGTCGTCGTAGTAGTAGTAGTAGTAGTAGTAGTAGCAGCACCAACAGCAGCGGCAGCAGCAGCAGTAGTAGTAGTAGGAGTACTAGTGCTAGTTGTAGTCGTAGTAGTAGTAGTAGCAGTCGTAGTCGTAGTCGTAATCGCAGCGCTCGTGATATTAGTAATACCAGTTTTTGGTGATAGATGTAGTATCAGCAGTAGTTGTGGTAGTAGTAGTGGTAGTGCTAGTGTTCATAGTATTTGCTATCGTAGTAGTAATAGTAATCGTCGTCGTAGTAGTCGTAGTCGTAGTAGCAGTTGTAGTAGTAGTAGTAGTAGTACTAGTAATGGTAGCAGCAGCAGTAGTAGTAATAGTAGTGGTAGTCGTAATAGTAGTAGTAGTAGTAGTAGTAGTAGTAGTAGTAGTAGCAATAGTAGTAGTAGTAGTGGTAGTAGTAGTAGTAGTCGTAGTAGCCGCCGTCGTCGTAGTAGTAGTCGTAGTAGCCATCGTCGCCGTAGTAGTAGTAGTAGTACTAATGATGATACTTGAGGTGCTAGGAAGCGTCCTAAATGCCCCTGAATAACCCTTGAGCGGTTTCTGGTGGCCCTGGGGACCAGAGATGTCTTCCTCGACAACAAGAGGAACAGTAGTAGTAGTAGTAATAGTAGTAGTAGTAGTAGTAGTAATCGTAGTAGTTTTGTACTACTAGTAGTAATAATCGTAGTAGTAGTAGTAGTAGTAGTAGTAGTAGTAGTAGTAGTAGTAGTGGTAGTAGTAGTAGTAGTAGTAGTCGTAGTAGTAGTAGTAGTAGTAGTAGTAGTAAAAGTAGTAGTAGTAGTAGTAGTAGTAGTAGTAGTAGCAGAAGTAATAGCAGTTAAACTCACAGTCGTAGGACTATAGTTAGTAGTGGTAATCGTCCTGGTAGCCGGTAGTAGTAATAATACGAGTAGCAGTACTAGTAGTAGTAGTAGTAGTAGTCGTAGTAGTA